ATAAATAGCTGTGTTGTAGTAAATACATTTGCCAGTATGTTTCTCCAAAACCCTAAGTCTGAGTAGGCAATTCTTTTATGCAAAGTGCTAAAAAGTAAATGTTTTGGGTTTTGCAAACTAAGATGCAGGGTAAAGTATACTATGTAAATTCTCTATTTATTTTTTTATTTTTTTAAAGATTTTTGCCATAGGGTGTGTGCACTTGCCCCGGGAAGAGAGAGAGAGAGGAAAACAGAGAGAGAAAGTGAGAAATCACTCCTGGGAGGATGGCCACACCACAATCCCTTCTCCTCTTGGGATTTTAGGCATAATCTTCAAGCTGCTGGGTCCAGTACTAGAACCATGGAGTCAGCCATGTAGGCTCCAGTGCCTCAACCACCACACCACCTGCTTGCCCATGTAGGTTCTTATGTAAGAAGAAGAAAACAAATTTGCACCAATCTTCATTGATGAAATTCAAAATAATAACTCTGTACAACTTTTTGGTAACATAAATCAATTAATGATTTAAAATGGAGTCCTTCTGAGGAAGATAATATTTCACATAATTGGGATTCCAAATTAAGCATTCCTTATCATCAAATTGCAAATGTTTATCTATAAAACTATTCAATCACTTTGTTATCTTTTGCTTTAACTATTAGGTCTTCAGGAAAGTCATGAGGTATTTTTCTATGTTTTCTATCCAAAAATGTGTTATGACTTTCCCTAGGACCCAATAATACTTTAGAAACAAACTGAAACACTAACACCTAAATAATAACTTCAAAGAGTTGACTTCCAAGTAACTGCAATTATTTCAATCTTAAAATCTTCAAACTTGTTAACACAAAGTGCCTTATCTTTAACAATTGCCTCTTTTCATTCTATTGCCAGAGAGTGCATATACTAGCTAGAGAGAAACAAAGAGACACAAGGAGAGAGAAAGAAAGAGAAAGCACCCTAATGGGGAACATTCACGTCCTAATCCCTTCTCCATTTCTCAATACTGTCAGGATTTGGGGCATGTACACAAAAACACCCAGCATGTTTTTCAAGCCAAAAGGGCTGGGATTCAAATTGTAGGTGGCTATGTGGAATCCAGTCTCTCAATTACTAACGTATAAAGGCTGGCCCCTTTACCAAACATTTCCACAAAACAGTTCCTGACCCTTAACTAAAGACAGACAGAGAGAGACAGAGAGACAGAAAGCGAGAAATCACCCCCCAGGGGGAATGGCCACGCCACAATCCCTTCTCCTCCGTTCTCCTCTCAGGATCTTGGGCACGCACCCACATGTGCCTGGCATGAGTTTTAAGCCACTGGGTCTGGGATGCGAACCACGGTCGACTACATGGGAGTCCAGAGACATAGCCATTATGCTAACTGCTGGCCCCTAGAGCAGATTTTTAAAAATGAAAGATTACTAGACCAACCATTGGCCCAGTAATTAAGGGAGCCAGGACTCGCATGACCAACAGTATAGTTCAAATCCTGGCCCCAGCAACTTGAAAAACATAGCAGGCACAAGTGTAAGCATGTCCCAAATCCCAAAAGGATGGGAAATGGAGAAAAAGGGGCTGTGGCATGACCACACCCCAGTGGAGGATGCTTTCTGCCTCTCCTTTTCTCTCTGCCTCTCTCCAGTGAATCCATACATGCTCCGACAAATTTTAAAACTATGTAACTTTACACTGATAAGTGCTTTTGCAAATATTACAAACAGCTTCACTATCATTCTCAAGTTAACTCTAAATCTCAGCCTCACTAACAAGGACCCTAGACTAGTATATCATTACCTTTGTGGTAGAAAAATATGCCTGATTCCTACAATTGCCAAATTAAAGGAAATACTTTCTTCCTCTTAGTAATAAATGAAGACATAGAATCCTAGGGTTAAATGAAAGATATTAAATATTTAAAATATTTTTTCATGAACATAAAATTAACAATTATAGTTTTCTAATAGACTTATTTTATTTGGATTATGGAAAATCTAAAAACCAACTAAATAAGATACACAAACCTAATAAGGGGAGGAACTATGCTGCCAAATATAAAAATTAAAATGTGAAATATCTTTTTTAAAAATATCTTTTTGGGGGGGGTTTCCGGGGCACTTTTTAATGTTTTAAGTTGCCATTTTCCTTTTTTTTTAAATTAATTGATTAGTTTATTTATTTATAATTTGACAAGAGAGGCAGAGTGAGAGAGAGAGAGAGAGAGAGCGCGCGGGAAAGTGTGAAAGCAAGCCACAAGGTCCAGGACTCAAACTGCACTCAGCTATGTGGAAGTCCAGCACCCTTAACCACTATGCCACCTGCTGGCCCTTAGGCACTTTTCAAGAGCAATAATTTTCTCGTAATAGCTCTGGGAAAAATCAGAAAGTGCCCCTGGTTTGGTACCTTAAAAGTTTGGATTTCTGATCTTCTAAGATATAAAAAAAAATTTTGACTTGACAACTCTCCTTAGCCCTAGTAATTTGAACAAATACAGCAATGAAAATTTTCAAAACTTCAAAAATGAATAAACTAAAAAGGGTATAGTAAATTATAGTACAGATGTGAATGTAGGCAAAAATTTTTCATTACCCACCTACTTTTAGTAACATTCAAGATATTTTCATCTAAACTAGTGGTTAAAGGTAGAAAACAGGGAGGATAAAAGCATGAGTATATGAGAAAGCTCTCTAGTAATTCCAGAGCCAATTCAGAACTACTTCTCTACATATTTTTAACACTCGTGTTTTAAAAATATGTATTTAAATTCTATTTGTACAACTATATGTCAGTCTTAGTACAAAATTCTTAACTATTCCTATTTTCATTTCCTCTAGTTTCAAAGGTGATATCACTTGAACATGCAACATTTTCCTTAGCTATCTTTAAGTTGACAGTTGTAAAATTTTAGAGTTGCATCACATCTTATTGATCATCTAATTGAAATCTTTTTGTTCTTCAAGTAAAGAAACTGGTCTTTAGGTTGGCCCATAGCCTGGTTGTTAAGGGAGCGGGATCCCATGTGGCTACCTGCACTGTTGGAGTCCCAGTCCCAGTCGTTTGAACACATGTTGTGCATGTGCATACTCAAAATCCCAGCAGGATGAAGAAACAGAAGAGAAAGGACTGTGGTATGAGTATGCCCTATGGTGGTGGTGGTGGGGCATCTTCCTTCCCCTCTCCCCCCCACCTGTCTTCCTGGCAAGTACACGCACCTCCTGGCCAAAAAAAAGTAAACTGGTCTCAAAAAATATGCGTAAAATCACAAACTACGGAGTGACAGGCTGGGACTTCAACTCTAATGCCCTCACTTAATGTTACTGCCCTTTTAACTGGAACAAACTGAAGTAGACTCTTCAGGCAACTTGAAATCAGAATTACCTAAGAGAACTATTGAAGAAATTCCCAGTTCATCTACCACCTAGTGTGAAAAACCTTACTTTATTTCATAACCCAAAAGTTTTAAAGAAAGTTAAACATTTATTTTTATACTATGGTAAATATGAATGTAAGTGCTGATAAGTTAGTAAATATTCATACAGAACCCAAATTATTGCTATTTTCATCTTAATATCTTAAGTGTAAAGAAAATTATTCAAATTTCTTTTTTTAAGATTTATTATTATTTTAATTTCCTATAGGGCACGTGTGCTCACCAGAGAGAGAAAAAGTGAGAAAGCAAGCCACCAAATCTGCAACTCGGCAGTTGGCCATGTAGGAGTCCAGCACCATGCCGCCTGCTGGTCCCAATTCAAATTTCTAATGTTACATTATTTTCTTCTACTTGACCACATTAAGCTTATAGCTAAGAATCAGGGCATTTGGGTTTCCATCTCAATTGTACAATATTCTTAATTTACTGGCAAGTCTCAACCTATTTCTCAGCTCCTGGTTAAGGTTCACAACTTACTTAGTGCTACACATCTTATCTATACTGCTTCTAATCTCACATCTTAGAAGATACGAACTAGGGACCAGCAGTTGGTGTAGTATGTCGCTGGACTCGAACTGTAGTTAACCACAGTTCGAGTCCCGGACCCGGTGGCTTAAATTCATGCTGGGTTCGTTTGCGCCCAAGATTCTGAGAAAAGAATGGAGGAGAAGGAATTAAGGCGTGCCATTCCCCCTGGGGGGTGATTTCTTGCTTTCTGTCTCTCTGTCTCTCTCTGTCTTTCTGGCAAGTACACCCGCCCTATAGAAAAAACCTCTTCCAAAAAAAGAATATATGAACTATTCTACCTACTTTACAGATTAGTAAACTGACTCTCAGAGAGATTAAATAAATTTCCGAAGAAACAGCTAGTTAGTAGCTGAGCTGGAACTTTAACCTAACTCTGCCTAACCCTACCTACTGCCCATGGTCTTTGCATTATACCATTTTGCTCATACACTGATATACAGGATGACCCTAGGGTGGTTAGGAAGAGGAGAAGCACATTTGCAGGACTATTAGTAAAATAAAAACAATAAAATAAAAAAGCACATGTTAAATAAACTATACTGACACATTCTCTAGTTATTAAATTGAAATTTTTAATAAGATTTTAAAAGTATTTAGCTATACTTCAGATATCATTACTATTATTAACACTTATTAACATTAGTAAGCATTGCACAATTTAAAATTATGTCAATCTTGGTTTTAGAGATAACTTTGTAAATTAAACCAGAAAATAGGTACTTCTCTTATTTTAGTATTTAAAAATGAAGTTACTCTGAAAGTCTCAATAAATCGCACATATGAATATTATTTGCTAAAAAGTAAACACGTATATATGTAACATATATATACATGTGTGTGTGTGTGTGTGTGTGTGT